TTACCCAGATGTGCTGGCACACACCTGTAGTCCTAGCTACCCAGGAGGCTGTGGCAGGAAGATCACTTGTTCCCAGGAATTCAAGGTTACAGTGAGCTGTGATCATGCCACTCCAGCCTGGATGACAGAGTGAGACCCTGTCTCTAAAAAAGAAAAAAAGCAAACAAACAAAATAAAACAGTGACACTGATTTCTAGCCTTCTTAGAAATAAATAAGATGAAATGATCACTTATCATCTTGTATGTATTTTTTTATCTGTAAGTATATACCTTGTATTTAAACATATTAAGCTTAACTCTTTTTAAAAGAATCACTTAAATATATATTTCATATGTATGTACTTATTAGCAAATACTACTTAGGCACAGTCATACTATGCAGATATACTTGGAGATGCAAGTATTTTGAATTTAGCTTCTACTGATTTATAATGGTGATTTATTTAAAGAAGCCAAGGTTCAGCCAAAGCTTTGCTTCCCTTTTCCCTCCGTCCCGTTGATTAAGCCAAGGGACTCAGGTTTATAGGGCTCCTTCTCTTTTGATTCTAAGCAAGATGTTTAGAGAAAGCATTCTCTGATATTACAAAGCTTAAAAACCACTTATCTGATAAGTCAATAAATATATCTGTCTGATCCTTAAAACTACCTTAGTAATAGCAGGAATTAATAGGAACACATGTAGTTTAAGAGAGTTATCTAATACTTACAGCTTCAAAAGGCCTCCGTTTTTTGTTACAACAGTCCAACTTAAGATAAAAAATAAAGTCATGGGAGAATTTACCTGAACATTTAATTTTTCAAATTTGGTAGATACTCATGATACAATTATGTCAAAATATTTCCCCCACTCTCTAGATGATTTTTTTGAGCACCAATTCTTATTTAGCAGAAAATAATTTTGAAATGCGTTTAGAGTTCATCAAAATAACTGAGATATTTTTAAAAGCAGATATGTTTTAAAATAGTTTCAGAATTTTACCTTCCCACCCAATCGTTTGAAAGGGAAAGATCACCTAAATTTGTCAATATTTTTTGCAGAGAAGAGCAGATTTTTCATGTGGAATATTCTGAAGCTGCAATTTTATGAGCATTCCAGTTTAAGCAATGTGAGTGATTAAGTCTTAAAAAGAGGAATAATGTTCTGAGAAAGAAAGATTTTTAATGAAAATGAAAAATATAACCAAATCACCTGACTTGTAGCCACTGGTTCTGTCTTCGGCTGACGAGTGTCAGATCTATAGGGAGGTTGGGCCCAGCACTTGTTCATGGTCTGATAGACTCTTGAGCCCAAGGACAGGATATATTTTTTCTCTCATTTTATTATTTTCTATGTATCAAATCAGAAGGCTAATTTAAGAGTTTTTCTGTGCGTATACATTCCTTTAAGTCTTGCTTCGATCCTTTATTTTGTTTGATTTTGAAATATGAGAAGGAGTTTCCCCTCAGATACTCCAGTTTGATCATTGCAAAGCACCGTTACTCATTTTATGTCTCTTCTTTTAACCGGCTCACAGATTTATTGTGACTATTAAGTAAACTCCAGATGTCTTTTGATACTGTGCAAATGTACAGGGAAGTCTCTAAAACATACTCTTTTCTTCTTCCTAGAGCCTGTGTATTTTCACACCACCTGGAATAAAGGAAGGAAAGCCCCGGCTCACCCCTGCCGGGCCCATCACCCAGGGCACCACCATCTCTGCGTACGTGGCCAAGTCCAGGAAAACATTGCTAGTAGAAGACATCCTTGGGGTAAATGGCTCTTCAACTCTTTGTGACATTTTTAACCTAAAGGATTTAATTAAGAATGATGGCATATCATTCTGATGTTACAATTTAAACACTTTTATAAAAAATAAAAGCGTTAAACTAAAATACAGATCGATAATTGGTAAATTAATTCTTTGTACTCAGAAAATCATATTTACCCACTGAGAGCCAGATTTGAACAATTCTTATTTCAACACATACTAGAATGGTTAAACATAAAAATACTATGTGTATTTATATTCATGTATCCTAAATGATTACTGTTTTGTATTCTGTCAGGATGCATGTGAATGGGTTAGCTATTGCTGTGTGACAACCTACCTCAGATTTTAGTGGTATCATACGGTAGCCACGTGTCTCATGAGTGGAAGGACTGGGCTATTCTACTGATCTAGACCACAGTCAGCTGGGCTTACCATGCGGCCGAGGTCAGCTGGCCATCGGTCAGGTGCTGGCTGCTTTCTTACGGCCTCAGTTCCCTCTGCGTCTCTCGATCCCCTCCAGCTGGCCTGGCATGTTCTTGTGATGGTAGCAGGAGTCCTAGAGGAGTTGGAAACACGCAAGTGAGTTTTCAAGCCTCTGCCTACATCAAGTTTACTACCCTCCTAGTAGCCAGAGGGCAGGCCCAGACGCAGTATTAAAGGGAACTAACAAAGGACACGGGTATAGAAAGCCAGGACAGAGTGGAGCCCTTAGTTCAGTCTTCCGCAGTACCTGTGAACATTTTAATGAAATGTCACTACGTGGAATGTAGACTTTAAAAGTGACAAGTACAAACAAGTATATAGGTGTAAAAAGTTTCCTCTGAAAAAATGCTCAACTGGAGTCATGAAAACTGGGTTTCAATTTTAGTTTTGCCACTAATTATCTGCATGTCCTTGAACAAATTGGGTAACTAGTCAGAGAGAGAGAGAGAGAGGGGTGGGGAGAGACAGAGAGGGAGAGAGAAGGAAAGACAGAAGATATAAGTACATTTTATATACGTTCTCATTTGAAAATGTTCTATTGTGTATGCAAGCTTTCAAAAGATTTGTAAATTACAGGTATAGATTTATACTATTCTTGATTGATGAAAAGTTCTAATTCATACCTGATAGCTTCCCATAGACAGTAGAAATTGAATAAATAGAATTGATGCTTTTTGTATTAATTCATTCTATTTTCCTATACTTCCTGTGAGTGATTTTTGCTAAGCTACAAAATTGC